ATCAGATTTCCGTCGGACTTGCTCCGTCTCGATCGCTCGAAAGGCATCACCACCGGTTGCCGCGTCTCGGCATCTCCTGATAACTCCAATCGCTTCTCGCTTGGGGAAAAACCGAAGGCCAGACCGTTCACCGTATTTGCGGATCATCTCGTCCTTGACATCACGCCAAATGCGTCCTAGGAGAACTCGCAACTCACCAAGTCTTCGTAGTTCAAGGTGTAGACGCATCTCTTCTTGCACAACTCGTGCTATCACGTCGTCACCGGTGATGCAGACATGATCTCCCTTGATGTGCACAGTACCGTCATCCTGACAGACCAGTCGAACCTTGCACTTTGTAGTCCGGCTTTTTCGGCACGCGTAGTACTTCGTCGTCTTGTAGGAGTCTTTGTAGTAGTAGTAGTAGTAGTAGTAGTAGTAGTAGTAGTAGTAGTAGTAGTAGTAGTAGTAGTAGTAGTGATCACCGTGCTGCATTGTTGGTTGTTGAATTGTAAGTGCCGATCGTGTGATATGCTTGAAATACAATAATGAGAAGACTCTATGCTAACGTGACGCAGTGTGGATAATGAAGAGCAGTATAAGTTATGGGAGGTAGTTGAGATAAGATATACCCACCCAAGGAATCCAAATAAATCACAACAAAGCGCGCTTCTTGCAGGTAAGTCAATATGATGCTAGCCTCCATCGCCTCTCAAAATCTCTAAAACCCAAGATATACTTTCGATTTTTAAAAACTCGCATCTTCACTGTCCATTTTAACGATAAAGGGGCACGAATTAGCGCCTCGGAGTTATCGCAATCGACAACGCAGCAGTGGTTTACACTTATGGACCAATGAAAAATGTGAAGTTTAAGTTCTTCTGAGGCAACTTTTTCAAACGCCCATTGCTAAGCAACCGCTGGATAAAAACAAAATCAGGTAAGGATTTCATAGAGAGTGGGGATACCCCCGCTTTGTGACGGCGCGCGTAATAGCCATTTCATTAAATGATTAACTAGCACAGTTTTGTGTTGCGCGGTCTCATTTGAAATCATTCACATTTATCTTAATCAAGTGTTTTTCTTATATACTCTATAAGTACAGGTACTCATTTTAAACTGTGAAATGAAAGGCACTATAACTTGAAAGTAAGGATCTGAATTTGCAGTACTGTGAAAGTGTAAAAGGGTGAAAAATGCGACCTTTTATAATCAAATGACTTAGTCTGTATAGTATACTTTAGACAAGAAGCTCGCGAAAGCGTTAAGAAATAT